TTTGTATAATTTGTTTATGAGTAGGAGGGTAGGATTGTTTTCTGTTGTTTGTTCATAGGAGTTTTATACTGTTTACTTCCTTGACCTGGGAAACCTAGATGGTTCTACCTTTCACCAGCATTAGCCCTTCCATCAGTAGATATGAGATGTGTGCTGCTGGTGCACAACTTTCTTGGGTCAAAAACCTAGTGAGATCCTTCTAGCTCAGTCAACTTCTTTTGATGTGAATTATGCCCACAAGAAATTAAAATATCCTAGACACACAAAAGAATGGGTGTGAAGATACTCCACTGCTTTTCTCTCTAGAACCCATGGCTCCTCTGTTTCTTTTACCTTGATCAGGTGTAGGAGCAGGAGCAGGTTGCTAAGTCTGCTGCCTACAGAGATGTTTAACTACAGAACAAGAGGCCCATCTTATATTTTCCTAAGAAGACAATTTCAGTAAATAAATATACATATATATGCTTAATTAAATATATATAAATTAGGTTATATTAAAAAAATTTAATGCTTATTTATTTTTGAGAGAGAGAGACAGAGCATGGGGGAAGGGCAGAGAGAGACAGAGACAGAATCTGAAGCAGGCTCCAGGCTCTGAGCTGTCAGCACAGAACTCGACATGGGGCTCGAACCTGCCAATTGCGAGATCATGACCTGAGCTGAAGTCAGATGCTTAACCAACTGAGCCACCTTAATTTATAGGTGCCCCCATAAATTAAGTTATATTAAAATAGATAGTTAAATATATATTAAAATTGTCATATATGTGCATTGGATACTTAAATTGGTTATTGCCTATTGAGTATTGAAATGTTGTTTGTTTGGCTAAGAGAATACAGTTTTACTTTAATTTGATTAATTTCTACTTAAGTAAGCATATGTACCATGCATAGTAGCATTTTACCTGTATCCATAATAAATGACTTGACTGTTGAAGTGCTCTTTGTAGGCACTTTTTTCTATCCAAAATTTGTGTTAGTATCTTTTCTGGATTTTTGGGTTAGTATTGTGGCTACAGTATTAGACTCACTTAAGTACTTATTTACCCATGTGTACCTTTTCATCCACACATAGCCAAATACCTATGTGTCCATATGTAACCTGCAGAGGGAAATGGTGAGTGCTAGTTGACATTTCCCTGTTAGCAAGTCCTGGAAAGAAGTATCTGGACCCAAACCCAAAAAAGTATCTGGGTTGAGAACCCCTGCTGTCTTTTCTATGGCAAGAAAAACATTAATTATGGTTCTTTCAGAGTCAGTGTGTTATAATGGTATCATATGAATCAATGGGTTTGTTTCTTTTTTTAATGGAAAAGACTGTTAAACTTATGTTCTAGGATTAGAGTTTTTAATTGACCAGAATTAATTTTTAATTAACCTTAATTAATTAATCGGAATTAATATAAAAAAGTGACCCAGAAGCTACATGATCTGCTAAAGATATCTTTATTTGAATATGTCATCCAAGAAAGCATGGTTAAAAATGATTATGAAGAGAATATTTTTTAAATCCATTTTATTTTATGTCTGAAAAATAGGTATCTGGTTTTAGCTATCTGGAAGCTGAACATGGAAATTTCATTGACCTCACTGCTTTCTTTTTTTTTTTTTAATTCTTTTTCCTTCTTCATACTATTTTCTGCACTTTCTTTAAGGTGCCCAAAATGTCCATTCTTTCCATATATTCACTCCCACCAAGAGTTTATATTCTGGTGAGATACTTAAAGCAAAGTACTTAGAATCACAATGCAGAGAGGGGCTTTGCAAAAATAATCCAGTGTCGTCTACCTGCCTTCCATCTATGAAAAATGTAATTTGCTATGGAAGTACATGTTTTTTCAGCATTGTTATGTTGTCACAAAAAAGGAGATCTCTCATTTCCATGTGTGTTGAAGAATTAAACATAGTCTATGGCCACTTTCTAACGATCACTTAATGAGCCTGGAATGACCATGTCCTTTTAGTTTTCTTTTTTAGATACCACCCCTGCAATTAAACAATCTTGGACTGAGAAAATCATGGTGCTAAGAAAAAATATTTACTCTTCCAAGAAGCCTATATTTTCAGTGATTTCACCCACAAGTATTGTTTATAGTATGAAGCAATAAAAGTGGTAATGAGTCACTATTAAGGAACAATGAAGATTTCTGTTGTTTTCCTCATTACTGTATATTTTGAAGGATATCATCTCTAGCTGTAGTTTCAAAATTAATCTGAAATATTTTAGTCCACCTTCAGGCTTATTCTTCCTCATGTTTTGGGCCTGAAGTTTAAAGAACCGAATGAAATACAAAGAACCCAAAGATATAAAATAGAAGACACAATAACTTTAAAAATACTCCTGGTATGCAAATATATATTTGTTAAGTTATTTATTGAATATCTTCATCAATAGCTATGTTCTACATGGGACTCACTAAATGTGATTCTTCATTCGTCCCATCCCAGATGGACTTGTTTTATGTTGCTCATGAAATATTTCTGTGTGGCTATGCCCTAATGCAAGAGTTAATACTTTTATAGTATACATATATTTGTCTTATAATTGGTTAAGGAAATATTGATATCAGGAAACCAGGATAGATCACTCAAATCTAAAATGTTCTACACTGTAAATGTGAAAAGTACATCCTGTATATAGAAATGTCTTCAAGAATCTTATTTCTTGGCATAGACAATGTTCAGCCCTTACTATCATGCAGTAAAGAGATGTTTAGTGTTTGTTGATTTATCAGATGAGCTGAAAAATAATCTAATTAAATAAGTTTGAACGTTGCCCTTAATTGCTTTAACTGGCAATATATATACTTACATATGGAACAAATCAACCTATTTTTTATTAATTGGGTTTCATAAAATCCATTAGTGTAAATCTGGCCAAAATTATCTTAATTTTGTATGATATTTATTGGCTTATTTCATAGTCAAAAATAAATGGCAAATCATCTCAGAAGTCATCAGGCTTTATAAAGCCTTCTATAAATCATGTGACCTTACGTTTATACAAAATATAATTATTGGCTAGCAGATTGAATAACACAGTCATGTATTGTACAGGTCTACAGACCTAAAGTTTTGCATACTAAATCTACTTTTAGCAAATCTCATTTATCTTTCTAGTAAGGAAATATATATGCCACCTACCAAAATCTTTATTTGAGGAAAACAAACTATGTAAATGTTATTATGTTTTTCTAAGTGTAGTTTAGTTTTAATCACAAATGGTAAAATTTAACATTGTTTCAAAATTCTCTAGGCACTGTTTTTGCCAAATGCCTCAAGTATTCCATTGAATCTTGCTGGCGTGGGAGACCCTCTAGCTTGGAAGTTTCCAATACAGGGGCCTTGGAGCAGGATAGAGACTCTGACAGGTGGACTCAGCTATGTGTTAGAGGTGGATGTGTGTCCTGAGAGGTTGAACATAGTGTCAGAATTGTAAGAATGATAAATATTAGGCCAGAAATGGGAAATCAGATAAAATTTAGCAAGGGGAGCCGAGTAAATATTACTAAACATGCCACTTTGGTATAGAAACTTTCAATCTACAAGGTGTTTTTTTTTTTGTTTGTTTTCTTTTGTTTGCATCATCTCTCTATAAATCTCTGTGAGGTATCTAATAGGTTTTCTTCTTGAAATGGTTTTCTTCTTATCTACTTTGTGAACGCTTTACATTCACTCCTCAACAAGTATTGTTTAAATCAATAAATGAACCCTTTATATTTTATTTAGTAGGATAAGGAGAATGAAAGAAACTATGTGACAATGTTTTTCACGGCAAACAAAAAAGCACAATTAAATATGGTGGCATTGTAGGTGTTTATTTAATCATGTCATTTGACAACATTTAAAAGGCTGACCTGCACTACACATTTTGATAGAATATAAAAACAATGATATACAGTATATGCCATTTAAGACCAACTGCAAAGACAGAAATGGTTATGTATGAAACACAATAGATGAACTCTATAGTGACATCTCTACAATATACTCTGTGAAAGTTAGATAAAAATACACCTAACTCTGGGGCACCTGGGTGGCTCAGTCGGTTGAGCATCCGACTTCGGCTCAGGTCATGATCTCACAGTCTGTGAGTTCGAGCCCCGCATCGGGCTCTGTGCTGATGGCTCAGAGCCTGGAGCCTGCTTCCGATTCTGTGTCTCCCTCTCTCTCTGTCCCTTCCCTGCTCATGCTCTGTCTCTCTCTGTCTCAAAAATAAATAAAAACATAAAAAAAAATACACCTAACTCTGGAGCCACCTTAAACAACCTAAAGGAATGTTGTTAACACGGGAGAAAGAAGTAACAGCAAATATTTATGAAGCTCCCCATAAGAATCAGACCTGAACGTAGATGCTTGACAGACATTATCTCTTTAATCCTCAGAACCATGCTTCAAGTCCATTGTGTGCTAGAACGTGCTTATATTCGCTCACAATAGCTACTTGATATTGTCCCAAGTCTGCTTTCAGCAACTTCCCATTGGTATCCTTAAATGAGTCTCTGTGGGAATAGTCATCCATGGATATCTGTAAGAACGATAAATCAAGGCTTCCTCCCCACCCACTACTGGAGCAAGGCTGTTGTTAAACATTTACCAGCACACCATTGATATGCATTAAGTAAGATTATTTTATATTTAGCTTCTAATACCCATTCCAATTCTAAAATCCTGTAATATTGCAGAAAGCAAATTATCTAGCAATTTTTATTGAATTAACTTTGTTAATTTTAATGAATGATTTAAATATTTATAACACTTTTAGGTTGTACATTAAAATATTTTAGTTAAAAGTGTTAATTTTTACATACATAATTGATTAGTAAACTGAAAAGGTGTTTGTGTTTTTGTAATGGGCTATGTTTCCTCATTTTCTAATGAGGGATATTTTGTTATTTAAATGGTAAATGTTATTATTTATGAAGATTTATTAAAGCTAAGATTTCTTTAACACAACTTCTGATCTTACCTTTGACCACTCCTTGTGTTGGTATTTTGCAGTGAGGCCCACAGTAATTGAAACTGATGTTTATGTAAACAGCATTGGACCAGTTGACCCCATAAATATGGTGAGTAATGAATATTAAATAATTGTCTGCCATAGAGTTCTTGAGTATATACCTTCACAATAAAATGGTTCTGTGACTAATTCTGATAGCTAATTCTGAATGAGCTCAGGGCAACTTGTGAAATTACTGTATGCCAGGTTCAGGGACTAGAGCTAGAATATTCCCTATCTATGACTGTGTAGTCTGTTATTCCGAAGTGCTGTGTTTGGTAGGAGTGATGCCAAGGCATAAAAATTATCTGTAGAAATCTGGAAAGAGGACCAGAAGGACTGAAGGGAAAACAGAGAAGAAAAGGACTTATTGGGAGAGTGGAGAGCACACACAGAGTCATGGAGAAATGAAACAACCTAACAGGATCAGGGGAACTTCCAGCAGTTTGATAACACTGGAACATAAGGTGATATGTGAGGAAGTGAGGCTGAAAGATGCTTAAGGTCTTTATTAAAGATAGTCTTCCAAGCCATAACAGAAGGCTGTGTGTTGCATGAATTATATCCACTTGGATCAGAGAAATGACTGGAAGCTTTTCATCAGGAGGGTATCATAGGTGGATGTATATTTTAATAGATCACCATTATAACAGTGTAGAAGATGGCTAAGACCAGTTAAGAGAGTTAGAGAGACCACTTGAGAGGTTGCTTTAATCTGGGCAACAGATCTTCTATTCTGGGGCAATCTAAAATTCATATTCTGAGGGAGTAGGGCTTAGGGCTTTAACATATAAATTTTAGGGTGACACAATTCAGCCCATAACACCACCTAAAGATAATTCTTAAGACTGCTGATTTACTCTCTTACTTCATTTATCCATTAGTACAACAGTCAAATCATGTCTTTATTATAGATCTTAACCACTTTTTTATCTGAATAACCGTCATGCCTAACAATTGCCTGTGTCTGCTGATTCCTACAGTATTACTGTGAGCCCCAGGTTTTCTCTCACTTAATATGATGTTCACGCAGTTGTCATTAGCTTTCACAGCTGCCTGCATTGACTACTGTACTGACAGTATTTTGGCCACACCATAACTGACATCCTTGTCTCCTTGTTGCAAATGAATATGAATTGGCTGTGGAAAGAAGTTGAATGTGAGAATCCAAAATGAGGAGCTAACTCTCAGGAAAAAGAGCTAGAACAAATATTTGTCAGAAATTAGCTAAACCTCTGAGAGATGGGAAAAACAATCTTAAAGAGAAGGAAAGAAGGAATAAATATCAGACCGTAAGGAACACATACATTGAAAGACCTGAAAAATGAAGTTGAGGTAGTAGATGAAACATCAAAGCTGGCAACAAAAAGAAGATAAACAGTGGCAAAGAAACCAAGGAAAAAGGAAGCTCTAATAAGTTTTTGAGTATTAGCTCTGCCCAAATCGAATTCCTAAACAAATAGTTGATTTTTGTAAAGATGAAGCATTCTATATACTTGTGTGTATCAACATTATGTAAATTTGATTACCAAAATGCTCATTTTCTCCTTAGGAGAATCTTACATAATGTTTAATTCTAATTAACCAATGCTTAAAGAAAACAACCCTACTGCAGTTTATGGAAGGCTACGTTTTCTGAACTGTGTGTGTTTTGTCTTGGGCTCTTGTTTTTAATTTGTTGAATTCATTTTAAAAATGTGGTCATTGGGGCGCCTGGGTGGCTCAGTCGGTTAAGCGTCCGACTTCGGTTCAGGTCATGATCTCACGGTCTGTGGGTTTGAGCCCCGCATCGGGCTCTGTGCTGACAGCTCAGAGCCTGGAGCCTGCTTCAGATTCTGTGTCTCCCTCTCTCTTTGACCCTCCCCCATTCATGCTCTGTCTCTCTCTGTCTCAAAAATAAATAAACATTAAAAAAAATTAAAAAAATAAATATTTAAAAATGTGGTCATTAAAATAAAGAGAAATAGGATTTAAGGCTTTGTTAGTATTCCAGAGATGTTTTGACAAGAATGGCTACTGAGAGGCTTCTATAGTGTTTTTGTGTATAAAAGTTTCATAGGATTAAAGATTTAGTTTTCCCAGTAGGGCAAACTACACACTTGTAACCCTGGCCAGTGATAGTTTTTTAAAAAGCTAATTAAATGAAGTTGCTATTTAAACTGGTGATACTAAAAGCACATACAAGGGAAAAAAAAAAACACATGGAATAATTGATAATGTTTATTAAAGGGAAACATTGTCATACTGGGGATTAATAAGAAGCAGTTTACTTGGAAGTCTGTTTTAACTAAACAATGCAGGAAAATTAGAATTCAGTTTTCATAAAATGAACAAAATTGCTTTGAATGTGAGTGCCATTGAGCAAGCAGACTTGAGTGTAATTAAGCAAGTAGGAGGAGAGGGTGTTCTTTTTTTTCCCCTGTTAACTACTCACAAATTTAAGTTACTGGTAAGGAACAAAATTAATGTAATAGTTTGATGGTTTTATTTGTTTTAATTAGCCAAAATTTGGTTTCATGTACAACGGTTATTTCTTTTTCAGCTTGGCTATATAAAGTGGTATCTCTGTAAATTACTGAGAAGACCTAAAACATTATTCTACAGTAAGATATATTTTTCCTTTTTTTTTTTTCATGGTTAGATTAATGGTTTCAATTTTGGTTTCACTATCAAAACTTAGGATATTCAGTAATTGACCACTGAAGAAATTAGTCAATAAATAGATTATTTCTATAGTTTACATTTAATTTCACAATGAGTAACAGAGGCATTAATGAAGACTGAACAAAAATAAAGTAAGTTGGATAAAGGCTGTTCAACTACTTGTGCTTTAATTAAAACTCTGAGTAATTTATGAGCACAACAGTGTATAAAATTGTTGAATCACTGGGGCGCCTGGGTGGCGCAGTCGGTTAAGCGTCCGACTTCAGCCAGGTCACGATCTCGCGGTCCGTGAGTTCGAGCCCCGCGTCAGGCTCTGGGCTGATGGCTCGGAGCCTGGAGCCTGTTTCCGATTCTGTGTCTCCCTCTCTCTCTGCCCCTCCCCCGTTCATGCTCTGTCTCTGTCCCAAAAATAAATAAAAAATGTTGAAAAAAAAATAAAAAAAATTGTTGAATCACTATATTGTACACTTGAAACTAATATAACACCATATATTAACTATCATGGAGTTAAAATTTTAACAAAAAACCTTAATAATAATAAACAATCTTAAAAAGAAAGAGAACAAAAATATACAATTGGAATTAAAGGAAAAATAATGTTAAAAGAGGTTATTAGCCTGGAATTAAAATGTGTTTTAATCTCTTCATTTTGGGGGCTTTGGGAGAATTATGAGTTGTTACTCTTCTGAATAAATATCTCAGGATAATGTAACAATACCAGCTTACCCTCTGATAGCTAAGACAGCATTCAACGCGTGTAGTAATTCTCTGACTCAAATGGAAATCACTAAGAGTTCTAGGCAATCCAGGATGACATTATGGGTATCTAACAGAAGGGTAAGCACAAAGGGAATAAGTACAGAAACAGTCATAGGTGAAAATTCCAGGTATAGTTTGGAGGGAAAGACCAAGCAGGCACTGCACCAGGCGGTGGAGATGGGCTGGAGAATTGCGCAGGCAGGCACCATGATCTCCCTGGAAAACAAGCTCACCTTTTTCACTGAGGACCACTCCCACATCTTCACCTTTGGCGGATACAACCTCCAACCCCTGTGGCGACTCTATCTTTGGTCTGGCCCCCATGGCGAGCGACACGGACCAGAAGCCCTCCGCTGCCATCCTGTGTGGCAATGGGCCTGGCTACAAGGTGGTAGGCGTGAGTAAGAGAATGTTTCCGTAGTGGATTATACTCACAACAAACACCAGGCTCAATCTGCTGTGCCCCTGTGCCCTTAGACCCATGGCAGGGAAGATGTAGCGGTCTTTGCCAAGGGCCCCACCTGCTGCATGGCAATCATAAGCAGAACTACTTCCCCACACAATGTTACCTGCGTCGGTAACAACCACGACCACTGTGCTTTGGACAGCTGGAGAAGCAGATCCTCTCCAAGCCTCCTGCTCCTTCTGCTGGCCCTGCTCCCCTGGGCATTTTATTTTGAGGGCCCAGGGCCTGGGCCCCCACCAGCCTGTGACAGATGGCCGGTCTTCCTCTCTCAGTGCTGCCCACTGCCTGGGAGACCACACCTCAAGAACCGGGTAGGCGGGAGGCTTCACAGCCTCTACAGCTGCCAGGAAGAGGACCCAGGAAACCAAAGACTGCTGCCTGCCTCACTCTCCTCTGGAATTTTTCACTGGGGCCAGACCAGTTCCTGGCCTCCAGCCTTTGCTCCCCTCCCTCCCTGCTGCCCCTTTGACCAACAGAGTAGGTTTCTCTTGGGTAGTCAGAGAATACAGACTGCAGAAATTCTCAAAGCATCTTATTTTCCTAGCAAACATATTTCTCCAGACCTGGAAGCCCTGGAGATTCCATGGAACATTTCGGATCTGACCTTTCCACTCCCCTCACCTCTAGAACCACCAGGTCTCACCATGCTCATGTCCCAACCTGCAGGGGAGAGAAAATCCTTCTCTGCAGGATGGGCAGTTTGCTCCCTCACTTTCCAAGGCCCAGGAATGAGTGAACTCCTGGGACTGGCCATCCAACCCCAGAGTGGCAGGGCTGGGAAGAGCAGCCTGGAGAAGCAGGCACTGCCCAGCTCTTAACATCCATGCCCACTCCTCTCTGAAGCGACACTCGTGTTTGGAATGACAGTAACTTATTTTCTCTTTTTGGTGTTGGTTAAAAGGGAATACAAACCATTTAAATAAAACTTTCCAAATATTTGAGGCAAAAAAAAAAAAAGAGGAAAGAAAATTACAGGTATAATTTGGATGTGACTTTACTTATAGAAACTGGTGCATCCTTATATATTTCAATATTAAGAGATAACTGAGATTAGTATTTTGATACCCTGGGCCAGAGAAACAGACTCAACATGGATGGACCTAGAGGGTAGGGCCTTAAGGCTAAGAAAAATAAGTCAGTCAGAGAAAGAGAAATATCACACGATTTCACTTGCATGTGGA